GGACTTAAAAGGAGGTAATGTCTCCTTTGGTAATGGAAAGAAAGGTGAGATCATTGGGGTTGGAACGGTAGGCAAAACAGATTCTCATTCCATAGAGAATGTCTACCTGATAGATGTCTTGAAATATAGCCTAATAAGTGTGTCACAATTGTGTGACAGAGGTAATCTTGTAGCTTTTACCAAATGCTTTGTGATTAACCTTACCACTGACAAGATTGTTTTGTAGGGAAAAAGAGTTAACAATATTTACATTATAGATTTGTCTACTCTCTTAGAAAATGAACTCATTTGCTTAAGTGTGTTGGTTAATGATCCCCTCCTGTGGCGCAAAAAACTTGGTCATGCAAGTCTAAATCAGCTAAACAAATTAGTCTCTAAAGACTTGGTGATAGGGTTACCTAATATAAAGTTCAAGGAAGACAAAGTTTGTGAGGCATGTGCAAGGGGGAAGCAGGTAAGATCATCCTTCAAAAGCAAGAAAATGGTAAGTACAACCAAGTCGTTGTTACTGGTCCATATGGATCTATGTGGTCCAATGAGAACCATGAGCAGAGGTGGAAAGAACTACGTAATGGTGCTTGTCGCTGATTATTCTAGATTTACCTGGGTTCTATTTCTAACCTCCAAAGATGAAGCATTCGACATGTTTATTGCATTTGTTAGAAAAACTCAGAAACAATTAGGAAATCAACTTGCATCCATTAGGTCTGATCATGGAACTGAATTTGAAAATTTCAAGTTTGTTGAATTCTGTGATGAAAATGGTATAGATCATAATTTCTCTGCCCCTAGGACCCCTCAACAAAATAGAGTAGTTGAAAGGAAGAATAGAACTCTAGAGGACATGGCTAGAACCATGCTGCTTTCTAGTAAATTGCTCCACAGCTTCTAGGCAGAGGCCGTAAACACTGCATGTTACATAATCAATAGGTGCATGACCAGACCTCTGGTAGAGAAGACTCCCTATGAGTTACTTAAAGGGAGAAAACCAAACATATCCCATCTTAGGGCATTTGGTTGCAAGTGTTATGTGCACAATAATGGAAAAGACTCCCTAGGTAAGTTTGATCCCAGAAGTGATGAGGGAGTATTCTTGGGATATTCTTCACATAGCAAAGCATATAAAGTGTTTAATAAAAGAACTCTATGTAGAAGAAAGTGTACATGTAATATTTGATGAAACTAACATTCTTTCTAAGAGACAGGAACATGAAGATGAAGTCATTGGATTGGTAAAGGAATTGACTAAATCCACAGCACAAGTCAAAGTGGCATCAAAAGAAGGAACATGTGATGGAACAGGTCCTTCAAATCAGGGCAACCTGACAGGGGGAACTAATCAAGGAGAAATTGAATCAAACCCCCTAGAGGAACTTGTTCATGAACCTGTTCCTCAGCAACAGAACATGGGAGAGACATCTAGCAGAAACCAGTTGGTTGTGAAACCTCACAAGTATCAAAGTTCTCATCCCACTGAGAACATTATTACTGATCCAACATCTGGAGTCAAAACTAGATCACAGGTAAAGAATCTGTGTGCTTTTGATGCTTTCCTATCTCTTATTGAACCTAAAAATGTTGTTGAGGCTTTGCAAGATACAGATTGGGTGAATGCAATGCAAGATGAACTCAACCAATTTGAAAGAAGTCAAGTTTGGCATCTAGTTCCGAGACCCAAAGACAGATCAATCATTGGTACAAAATGGGTCTTCAGAAACAAACTTGATGAAGATGGAATAGTTACAAGAAACAAAGCAAGACTAGTGGTACAAGGATACAACCAAGAGGAGGGCATAGACTATGATGAGATATTTTCTCCAGTTGCAAGACTAGAGGCAATCAGACTCCTTATAGCCTTTGCAGCGCACATGGAATTCACTCTTCATCAGATGGATGTCAAAAGTGCCTTCCTGAATGGCTACCTAAAGGAAGAAGTGTTTGTGAAACAACCTCCAGGGTTTGAGAGTAAGGAATGTCCTGAGTATGTGTACAAGTTAGACAAGACTCTCTATGGGCTCAAGCAGGCCCCAAGAGCTTGGTATGAACGACTATCCAAATTCCTACTGGAGCATGGTTACAAAAGAGGTAAAATTGATAGTACCTTATTTTTAAGGGAAAAAGGTAAAGATCTCCTTGTTGTGCAAATATATGTGGATGACATCATATTTGGGGCTACCACTGATAGGCTGAGTAAGGACTTTACAAAACAAATGGGCAGTGAGTTTGAAATGAGCATGATGGGTGAGCTTAACTTCTTTTTAGGCTTGCAGATCAAACAAAGTCCAAATGGAACCATGATCCATCAGCAAAAGTATACAAAAGAGCTAATCAAAAAGTTTAAAATGGAGGAATCTAAAGAAATAGACACACCTATCGCAACTGCCACCAAATTAGATATTGATGAACTTGGTTCATCAGTCGATCAAAAGTTGTATAGGGGTATGATTGGTTCACTCTTGTTTATTACTGCAAGCAGACCTGACATCGTTTTCAGTGTAGGGCTTTGTGCTCGTTTTCAGGCAAATCCAAAAGAGTCCCACTTGACTGCCGTAAAGAGGATACTGAGATATCTGAAAGGCACCACTAATTTGTGTCTCTGGTATCCTAAAGGTAGTAATTTTGATCTAGTTGGATATGTTGATGCTTATTATGTAGGTTTCTTAGTGGACAGGAAAAGCACCTCAGGTATGGCACATTTCCTTGGTTCATATCTTGTGTCATGGGCTACCAAAAAGCAAAATTCTGTGGCCCTATCTACTACTGAAGCTGAGTATGTTGTTGTTGCTTCCTGTTGTGCTCAATTGTTATAGATCAAACAACAGCTGGTAGATTTTGGAATTGAAGTGGGATGTATTTCAATAATCTGTGATAACACTAGTGCTATAAGTATGACAAAGAACCATGTTCATCATAAGAGGACTAAGCACATAGATGTTAGACACCACTTCTTAAGAGATAACTATGAGAAAGGTTTGATTTCAATAGAATTCTATGCTACTGATAAACAAATAGCTGACATCTTTACTAAAGCACTGAGTACAGAAAACTTTGAGAGGAATAAGTTGGAGTTAGGGATGATTAAGATCACCTAATAGGTCCAGTTCAGAATGCACAATGAAAAAAAAATATTTTTTGGTTAGGAGTTCTAACTTTGTATAAATATCTAGATCAATTCTTACTCAGTTTCATACTTTAATTAGTATACTCCTGTGACATGTGTATGACTCACTGATCTCTTACAAAGCTTCTTCTATTTTGGCATTTGAGGCATGTTCGAGAGAGTTCTATATAAAGAACCTGGTTCATCAGTATGTGTTCATATGAAAAGCTTAGGTATGTTTTCTATACTCTGCAAAATTAAAAAGATTATTTTTCCAATCATGAGAAGAAGTCCTACATTCATCAAATTCTCAGAAATTCTATCCGTTGAGCATTGAACCAGTTTCATTCCCCTAGAACTCTAAAAACCGGGATTTTTGCCTAAAATTTAGCGATGCCTAATAATCACTAAGAGACCGGAATTACATCTTGATTAGACTTCTAATTGACCTCTGAAAAAGCTGTCGTTACTGCATTTAAGTCTAATCATCTTTAAATACACGCCACACATCTTCTTCATTAGTCCATAACCATCAAAACTCTTCTCAAGTTCTGATCGCCCTTCTTCTCTCCAAAATTCCCAAATTTTTCTTAAGAAACAATCCACCATGACTAACCCCCAAGATAATCCTGGCACTCCCCCACCAGTATCCCCTTCGAATACATCCTCATTTACACCCCCTAGTGAAACTCCAAAACCTTGGTTTCGTAGACAGAAAATGTTGGCCAGAAAAACTATAGCTTCTGGAGCTCTAAGAAAAGTTCTAAATGAGAAATTGAAAGCTAGCCAGAGGAAGGAAAGTCCTACTCAAGAATATGACTCAAGCTCTGAGTCTGAAGCTTTTATTTCTGCCAGTGAAGGAGAAGAACATGGGTCTTCTGACACTGCCAAAATTCAAGAAACCCCTGGTGAGGTAAGTTCTTGTGTGGTACTCTCTACTGTGGTTGAAAATGTAGAAAATAGGTTTGTCTTGGTTGGTCCTGTCAAAGATATAAAGGGGGCTGAATCTAGTAAAAGTGGAGGTAAAAGAAAGAAAAATAGAGAGAGGGAGCAAGTGGTGATGAGAGGGGAAATGGGAAAGAAAACGTTCTGGATATCTGTGGAGGTGTTGAAGAAGGTGGCAACAAGTCAAGGGGAAGTGGTTCTGGGGAGGCGGCTGAAGGGCTTGTGCACTTAAGCAAGCAACAAGATGAATCTGGTTCATCTGTTGAAGAAACACTGGCTGATCTTCTGAAGAGGGTTGGGGCCAGTTATGATCCAAAGAAGTGTAAAGCTTCCACACAAAAGGCTCAAACTGCTTCCAAGCCAACAAAGAAAAGCAAAATGTCATCCCCAAAACCTATTGTACCTTCAGTACCTAAGTGAAGATCCACTAGAAGCAGGGTCAGACAAAGTGAAGATGAGTTACAAAAAGCTCTAGAAGAAAGCAAGAAAAAAAGAAGGATAAAGGAAAAGCAAAGTCTATGGAGAGTTATAAGGTTGCAGAAGAAGATGAAGAGGAGATGGAACTGGTCCATCAAGAAAGGGGAACAACTGTGGAGGTTCTTACACCCAAACCAAAAAGGGCCAAGGCTTCTTCCAAGAAGTCTTCCTTTGAACTTGTATCTGATGAACCCTCTTTAGCCAAAAGAACCAGATCTGCAGTGAAAGGTAAGCAGGTAAAAATTACTGAAGAAGAAGAAGAGGAATCTGAAAAGGAACAAGATAGGTTTGCCATCTTTGGCAGAAGAAATTTTTTTAAAGGAAGACTGTTGAGAGACCTGGATGAGCCAGGAATGAGAAGACTGGTGGATGCCCTAGCTGCATAAGGTTGAAAGGACATGGTCCTTGAAATGGATGGGAGGCTGGCTAGGAAAGAATTGATTGTGTTTATGGCCAATGCCATAGTGAAAAATGGGGTAGTCACCAGTATAGTGAAAGGAGTAAGGGTGTCGTTTGATGCACTCAAATTGGGTAAGATTCTAGACATACCTAGTGAGGGGTATGATGATTATACAAGGCAAAGGTGGCCATGTCTAGATTCTCTCCCTACTGCTCTTCAAATCACTAGGAATTTTTGTGATGCCTCAACTGCTAAAGATGTGCCTAAAGCCAGGTTTGTGCAGAAAAGTGAGATGAGGCCTGAGCACAAGGTCTTGTTTGAATTTGTTAACAAGTGCCTGCTGCCTAGATAGGAGAGGAGGCACACTGCCAACTACATGGACCTGGTTCTTATGGAGTGCCATGTGAGAGGAATGCAGATCAATTGGCCTGCCTTTATTGTCAAATTACTGAACAGGGTCATAAATGGCTCCAAGGCTCATGCCACACCATATGGGTTCATATTGACTACTGTTCTGGATAGGCTGAATGTGCCTTTGAAGAAATGGGATATGGTATCAAGCAAGGAACACTTTGGCGTCAAGACTCTTCTGGCTTGTGACTATCCAGTCAATGCCACCCCAGTTGAACCTGGTTCATCCCTGAAGACACCTGTGAATAGCAAGGTTAGGGCTTTGGTTCAAGGCTGTGGATCTAAGGATGCTAAAATTGCTCGGCTCCAGGCTCGTGTAGCTAAATTGGAAACTGAAGAGATGGCCTTAGAACTGAGCTAGCAAAAGAAAAGGAAAAGAGTGATGGGATGCTTCAAAATATGCTCAACCTTCTCCAAACCCAGCCCTCTAGTTCCTCCAAGCCTTAGGATGTCCAGTTTTTGTCTTCTGAACCAAACTAGTACCCCCGGTGACCCAGATTAGGGACTTTTTCGTTTTTTTTGCTCATGCTTTGGAAGTTTTTCTTTCTTTTTGTGGTTTGTTGGTGGAAACATATCTTATCAATGACAACTGTTGTTTCTCTTGTTCTATGAAGATTTTGCTCTTAATAGTTTGAATATGTTTGTTGATTATTGATGATTTCATCCATGTTTTCATTTGTAGTTGCCCAAGTGGCCATGAGTAATTACTAAAATCTGGGATTCACAATGCATGCAACTTTTCGATGATGCCAAAAGGGAGAAGAGACNCTGAACTGATCGAAAAGGTTGCATATTGGATGAGGAGAGAAAGTCTCTTTATGGGAAGAGGACATAATCACACAATTCGGATAAATGATAGGGTTGGAGTTTGTATTGAACAAGGACTCCACATCGATGGAAGATCAGCAATTGAGTCTCAATCAAACTCTGATTACTAACTCATTAAATAACAGTGATTGTTCTCTTTTATAGGTGTTGCACATACGCAGAAGTTAAACGTGTATAGAGAGCAAAATAGCAACGCTTTTTGCAAGCAGTTCGTGTGTAATTCAAGTGTGCAAACCTTAAGCTACTTGAACGAGATAAAAGAACCAGTTTCGTTGTGTTTATTCTTATTCTAGTTCAATTGTAGTAGGTGGTTTAAAGTTGTACCTTTTCAGCTTTCATAGAAGTATTTGTAATAGGTACTTTGAGTATTCAAGTTATAGGCTAACTTGAAGTTGTCGCAACAGTTGAGGTTGTGTGCTACACAGGGATTAGAGTTAATCCTTAGGTTTACAAAGAGTTTTGTAAACGCTATTTTGGCTCAGTGATTTTAGTGGATGTTTGGGAAAATCCTAATGAGTAGTAGGTCGTGGTTTTTTTACCTTTTGAGCCAGATGTTTTTCACGTAAAAATCTCTGTGTTCTTTATTTTCTGTACTTTTAATTCCACAACAGTAGCAGTTAGAACATCTAGAAGAACCAGGTTCTTCTAGATCGAAAAATTGGGTACCACACAAATCACCTTCCCCCCTCTTGTGTTGTATTGATGTTTAGAACATCAGCCATGGTCAACATTGTCCATACGTCAGGCGTCGACGAACCTCGAGGGAGGAAACTCGACCATAGCCTTGTAGCCTCGAGGCTTCGAGATGATCTTCTGAGGTGCCTCGATGACGAGGATTTGGACCCTCCGATTTTGCCATATACAAAATGTATCCACAATGTATAACAATGTTTAATGATCTATTATACATTGATTTACAATGTAAGTACATTATTTAAACATGGTTATACAAAGTAGATATATTATTTGTATACTATATACATTGTATATGTAATATATATATATATAATAATATATAACGTATCAGAGTTAAAAGTGTATATCTACTTTTATGCATCATGTACATAGATTTTTTTTAAAAAAAAAACTAAATGAGGGTTTTATGGTAGCTCTGGGAAGAAGGTAAAAAAATAATACTGCATGAAATTCAATGTAAACATATATTTGCTAATTTTAGTGTAAATATTATGGGGCTATACGGGGTGTAAACTGTTTGTGTGGGAGGATTTTTACATACCTATACATTATTGAAAATATTATTATCCTCCCTACTCAAGTTTCAATTTAATTACCTCCTATATACAAATTTACCAATTATATACACTTTAGGAATTAAATGAGTATCCCTTTATATTAAGAATCAATTTCAGTAATGTAGAGCAAAGGAAAAGAGTGCAACAATTCCACCATTGACAGCCATTAAAAAGCTTTGAAGCTTTGAATTCGAATTTTGGTTTTCAAAAAATATTAATTATTTGAATTGAGTGTTGTTGCAAAAAATTGGGAATTCTCTCTACGTCTCTCTCTATCTCTCAATCCCTAATTCCAGTAATGTAAAGCAAAGGAAAAGGGAGCAGCAACTCCACCATTGATAGCCATTAAAAAGCTTTGAAACTTTGAATTCGAAGGTNGTATAATATATAATTAGTTGTATGAAATTTATTTTTACTATGTATAAATAAGATACAAAATATATATTGTATAAAAATTGTATTTACGTGGTATGATATTGTAGTTGTATATAACTAGGTAGAAATAATATATTAACGTTTTAGATAAGTTGTATATTATATAATTAGTTGTATGAACTTTGTTTTACTATGTATAACTCTGATACAAAAGACATATTATATAAAATTTATATAAAAATTATATTTAAATGGTGTAATATTGTAGTTGTATATAGCTAGATATATATAATGTATGAAACTTTTAATTATATATCAATTGGTAGATGCTCTGCAATGGCTGAAAGTAATGCGTCGTAACTTGACTCCGAGTTATCACAATTTTCTCGACATTGAAATTAACATATCGACCACTACTATCCCATCCATATGAACAGATAGCAAAGAAAATGCAAGAATTTTGATTATAAGAGAAGATGGTGTAACGGTAACTTAGAATTTTACTTTCTTTCTTGTTTTTCATTTTCCCATAAAGAGTAGTAACATTGTAACTTACTGTCCAAGTGTCAATGTTATTTTAACTCAAACAGGAATATTTAATTATTTTAAATTACTCAAGCAGATGCTGTCCGTAAAACCAGAATATTTTAGAACGACAGTAATTTGCTGGCTCTTGTATGATTGATTAAATAATTAGCTACGTAAAAGCTAGTACTCAATGGGCTAAAGACCTTCAGACTTTTGGAGTACTTAACACCTAAGTGATGTTAATTGGTGCAGTTTATAATTAAACAAGTTGCTAATTCTACTGTAGTGGTTTTGAATTGAAGCAACACGTGCTTTTCTTGGACCATAAGATAGTTGGAGAGAATTCTCATTTCATAATCATTCAATTCAGTGACTATCTTTACTAGTACATGAGGTTAGCTCATCTATTGACACTCAAACAGTATATAAATAAGATAAAAAAGAAGAGTAAACAAGAGAATTTTGAGCAAAGTCTGTTAGAGTAGCAGATTTAGTTAGGAAATTCATTATTATTCAAAGCATTCCGTTTACTCGAAATATGGAGAGAAAGAGAGAATCTGGAGAGAAGAGGGGACAGAGGAGAGAAAAAAAGAAAATGGTGTAACTAAATCCCTTGATTGAATGCACAAATAATGGATTGGGAGCCTTTTAAGGTGAAATGTATATATTTTATAGACAAAACTTGTTTAGGTCGGGTAATTAATTAAATATAAATATTTTTTATAATGAAGTTTCCAATAATGTATAAGTATATAAAAATCCCTTGTTTGGGCAGTACATTTGTATAAGAGTCCCTAGTACCTTTGTGTCGATATTCCCTTGAAGTAATTGGAAAATAATGCAAGCCCAAAAAGAATTGGATCAAAGTGAAAGCCCAAACCAAAATAACCTTATCAGGTCCCATATTCGATAACTGTAAAATTATGTTGAATGAAATTAATTCCTCCTTAAAAGGACAACCAACTAAGAAAAGGTCACAGTCGAACTACAATGCACGAGGTCACCTTTAATGATTTCGTTGTCATTGTTACTCAATTGGACCTTCCTTACTCCCTTTTAACACAAAATTGTGTGGATAGCCACTTTTTAAAGTGGTATTTACTTTTTATTCAATATTTTTAATGTTTAGCAATAGTAGCCACTAGTCT